ACCGAACAGACGTCTCTACTGCACGAGACACATCGTACCCAACGCAACCTATGAGACCGAACAGACGTCTCTACTGCACGAGACACATCGTACCCAACGCCACTCTGGCAGCCGAGGCGTCATAATTAATCCAGAAGGAGACCCAGGACAGGATGGTGATGAGGATGGACGGCATGTACGTCTGAAGGATGAAGTATCCGATGTTTCGCTTCAGCTTGAAGCTCAGAGAGAGTCGAGGGTAGGCACCTGCAGGACGAGACAGAAGAAGAAGAAGAAGAAGAAGAAGAGGAACAACGGCATGTCTGGCACTTTGTTTTGGTTCCTATGGCGATGGGCCCATGGTTTTTATCACCATGGATCATCTCGCAAGCTTTGAGATGATCTGTGAGCAGACAGCATACCGTAACACATCATAGCTGTTATCTATGCGCTCTACAAACACACCAGACCATTGATGTGTTGCTTTAGTTATTTATTCTGTTTTATTTACTTTATTTCCTGCCTCTGTCTGTTCCTCCTGTGATTGTCGGCCCCGCCCTTAATTTAAACCTGCTGTGTCTGATCACCTGCACCGACCCTGTGTATTTAACCCTGTGTGTGCCTTGGGTCAGTGAATACTTTTTTGTTCCCATTAAAATCCACATTTATCCTTCTGGTTCCCTTGTCTCCCTGCATTTGTGTCCAGCCCTCACTACAACACTGATTCTACCTCTGGAGCTGCTGCTCTCCTGCTGCCTCCATCTGTTACTGAGGTTGTGTTGTTGAGAGACTTCAGTGTTGTAAAGACTTAGTTCAGATTCACTAAATCTATCCCCTTCATGTAGTTTGAGTCTTTATGGAAACACAACTTTCTGCCATAGATATGGAGTTTCCTGTGAGAGATTTCTGTTTTTCTGTTTTCCTCGGTTCTCATTGGTCTGAAGTGGGCGGGGCTCAGTTGGCAGAAGGTGATGTCACGTGTTTCAGGATTCAATAATAAAATCCGTTGATCAATAAAATCGGATAAAACCACAAGGACCGGATGAGCAGGTTAGCGGAGTGTTAAATTTAACACATTATAAAAACCAAGTATCACCTACATCTCTGTAAGCTGCAACTTACAAATATTTAGAGAGTCGATTAATCAGTTAATTATTTATTGATTCAATTAATCGATTATTAATCTAAAAATGTGTATTATATCCAAAAAAACAAATTCCTCATCAACAATAAATACATTTTATGAAATAAATGGATATTAGAAATGTAAATATATATATATGATTATATATCAGATATAGAAATAAAAGATTCACGTTTAAAGCTAATTAGCGTTAGCTGAATCTGGATCTAATAACGCTGAATGTGCCGTCTCACAACTACAGCTTCTAACTGGACAGAAATACCTTCAGTACGTTTTTCGTTAGCTTCGTGGAGTGTTAGCGCTGAATTAGCCTCACCTGTGGAAAAGACTACATTCCTGGAGACCAGCTTGTAGTCCATTATGGAGAACTGAGGGAGCTCGATGCGCGTCACCCCGGTCACAGCGGAGTCTCCTCCTTTCCAGTAGAACTCGATGTCATCTGTTGTGTAACCGTCTGCAGACAGGGACAAGGACACAAGCTGGGGTTATTGGTTATTGTGAGTGGGAAAGGACTGAAGTGAACAATAAGTATTTGTGTAATATCTACAGCTGTTGCTGCTGATTGGTTGATGTAAACAGAAACATAAAGAGACGGTGGACACAT